ACATGAATATACGCAAAGGATGTAACTGAAAGGGAGACAAGTTTTAACCTAGATACTCACACAGATATTTCTAGATATTGATATAAGATCTACTTAGTTGAACCCTCTTGAAATTTCCAATCTTAGTTAACGAAATTTTGGAAAAATTTAGTACGAAAGAAGGACAATATGGAACAAGATTTAGGAACTGTTATTATTTATACTCTATCGACTATCGTTTTGGTTAAATCTGATTAGGTTCTCTGGTCACTAGAATTTCCAAGCACTTAGCAAAAAAACTGACTACAAATATAGATTTAATTATAAATGGAGATATACAAGAATATACTTAGATATAGCTATCATCAAATGCAGTTAGCTAAATTTTCAATCACTTCTGTGTAGTGAAATGTCCCACATCTATGAGTATTTTTTAGCCATTACCATTAACCATACCATGTCCAAACTGAAAAAAAATGTGAACTGGAAGTCCTACCAATAACCAATCAAGTTTAATAAAAAGAAAACCCTCCGTTTCAAGTTATAAACAAATGAACCAAAACCGAAACAAAATGCTTAAATCAACTATCTAATCATTAGAGAAACATATCCCATTCAAATACTTATACATACATCAAATATATCTATATAGATCAAGTACATTTTCTAGGAGTATGTAGTCGAGGACGAATTTAACAGCATCCAGTAACTTGTAACTGAGATCTGAGTTGAGAATAGCCAAAGCTGCCATTTGTTTGCCCCCATTTTTATACTGATAGACGATATCAAGCAAAGCAATTCAAGCATATCCCGAAATAGTCTTCATCATACAGTGGTTGTCTATGATAGATTTATTATGATACCTTATGCATAATGCCGATGGAGAGATCGGAAATCTTAAAAACTTAAATCTTAAATCAGAGGGCGGAGGAAGAGTTCCGAGTCAAAGCCAAACAATCAACGAAGAAATTATGAATTATAAATATTATACACTTGTCAAGGAATATTTGTGAGCTATATTAGCCGCTTAATTATCGTATATTAGTATCTTATTCTAAGCAGATCAACTTAGCAAAATTGTGTCCAACTGTAAAGCACTGCATTTTGTATGTCTCACCAGCCTAGCCTAGCCCAGCCCAGACCTTAGTTTTAATAACCAATCACACCAAAACAATCGGAGATAGACAAAGAAACAGATACAGATTCAGATATGCCCCGAGCTTGGCAGTTAACCGTTTGTGTTGGAATAGATGCTTCGAATTAATTTAGTGGTAGCAGGCATTACTCAATTGTACCTATCTTTTGATACCGTTTATTACAAAACTAAGGACTATAATCGTATTTAAATTTTATATCTAAAGAGTGCAGCGAGACCAACATGCACTCGCAACAGGGGAATGAAAGTGGAGTCGCAGTCTTGACGATATCGTTCACATTTCAATCTGTTCGTACATAGAACGTATTATAAATGAAACATTATATACATTATACATATGGAAATATGCATTGAACTAAACTTATACATATATATATAAATATATATATGAAACTTATGGTGACATACTCGAATCGTTTATATACAACACACGCATATATTTATACATAATCAGAATAATTATACATATGAGATATGCCACATACGATATCATATAACGTATACATATATGAAAACATTGCGAAAGTTGATACAATAAATAAAACACACATCAATTGCGTTAAACTTGGGAGTGTTTGGAATAAAAGCAGCTTGGAATAATACTATAATAGAATGTAAGTAAAACAAACTTATATTTCTGTTTCCATTATCGTTTTATTTTTACTAGATTCTAGACTAACCATTCAACAACATATGCTAAAGATATGTACATAGGCTAGGTGTATCTTAACCAATCTATATACTGGATCGGTATCAAATCCCTCGAAGAACACAGCAAAGGAGGTTGAGTAGAGTGGAGCGTTGTTTGGCACAGAAAGAGCCGGAGATTTAGTTTTGGGTCAGTAGTGTAAGCTGCGTGCAATAGTCACAAGACAAATAACTCAAATCAAATCAAATCAGATCGGATCGGATCGGTGGGTGCCCTGTGGGGCAGTCAGTGGTGGTAGTATGCGTGGGGGTCAACGGGAGCGGGTGCTGGAACCGGAGACGGGTAGTGGGCATACGCACTGTGGGCCAGTGCCGGGTAGGCCGCATGGAAGTGAGCGGAGGGCAGGATTGGCGCAGCGACTGGTACTGGAATGGGAGCAGGAGCAGGGACCGGGGCCGGAGCAGGTACTGGAGCAGGAGCGGCCCGGTGGAGAGTACTCAAAGCCAAGGGATACGACAGCAGGGGGGCCTTGGGAACGGGCGGCAGAGGTGGAGCTGGGGCAGGACCAGCCAAGTGGAGCGGAGCGGGTGCAGGAGCTGGTGCAATAACGGGAGCCAGGTGGGCAGGGGCCTTGTAGGCCAGAGGCTCCTTGCGCACCACCGCGTTAAAACCATGGTGCGGATCCGCCGTGTAGTCGACTGTCCGCTTGGTGCCATCAGGATCCACAACCGAGTAGCTGCCCTTCACCACATCGCCATGACGCGTCTCGTGCTGAGACTTCAGATCGCCGGTGTATCCATCCTGGATGTCGTAACCAAACGAGTATTTCGGGTCAGGGTCGTAGGGCTCTGGAGCGGCTGGCTTGGGTACAGCGTAGTGGGCAGGCAAGGGTCCATGGGGTGGGGCATAGGGCGCATAACCGTGTAGAGGCCCGGGGCCAGCTGGTTCACCATAGTAAGGTCCGGGGCCAATCACACCAGCATAGGCGATGCCGAGCACGGCGCTCAGCAGGGAAATCTGGAAATATTTGGGTGGTCAATGTAGAATTACTACAACATTAATTTATTTTTCACATTATTTATAATTATAATTTAAATTAATTGTTTTTAGTTCTGATTCTGGTTGTATAATTATCACATTTAATTCAAACACGTGGCCACACCTTCAGCATAACGTAGTCCTTGGACGGGTATCCTTTCAGCTCGCTCACAGTTCACAGACACACCACCTCAGGTTAATCAGAGAGTGGTCCAAGGAGCGTTTAATTCGACGACGATCGCGCAAGAAGAAGCCAAAAACAAAACTGCAAGCCATGGCTCGGAGTTCTGGCCATTTATACTGCCAACTGGCGGCAAATGTCGCCTGCTTCACATGGTGCAGCCAAAGCAATAAACTAATTTCCGATCCAGAGTCTTAGTCGGGGGCCAACGATCAAGCATATGGCTCAGAGACCCCGGCAAAAAGTCGAAGTTCCACTAACACTTGAAGTTACAAGCTTAAGCACCCTTGTATTATTTTATTTGGCCATATTAAAATTAGTCATAAAACCTTAAATAAATTTTTTAAATAATACAGCTAAATGAAAACAAAACTTAATTCCTTGATAAACTCCTATTAAATTAAAAAAATCACTTTTAAATACTTCCATTGCCTATTTGACGCACCGCCACTGTAAGTGTGGAGCAGGAGGGGGAGGATGGGGTGGCCGGTTGCCCACCTGGCGGCAAATCGTGTGCCCGACTTCAACTTTGGCGCAGTTATCGTGTCGACTTAGAAAGGTTATTCTTCCGCTAAACCATTTAAAGGGACCCCAAGAGCCAGCCAGAGCTGTGCCGGTGCCCTTTCACTTTTTCGATTCGCGCTTCGATTCCCAGTTGGTCACCGGCTTTTGGCCAATTATGTGAAAATTTATTTGGCTTCAGACAATTGAAATGTTAAATTTGCATCGCCTGGCTTAGAGGACCTGCAGCATGCTCCGTTCTCCGCGTAATTAGCAATATTTACCAGTATTAACTTCTTGGGTAAGAACATGCTGAACACCGATCGCAGCCGTAGGAATTGGAAATGGCAGTTGCAGTTTCAGTTGCCGCGCATGTGCAAAAGGTCATTCGGTCCACAATTGAATTAAGAGTGCCTGGAGCGGACCGGAGCCAAAGCCACCTAATAAAGCGAAAGGTCAACGTGCCGAAAAACACTCTCGGTCTGAGCAAATAATGTCATTAATAATCCCCTTCCCAGATGGGGTATACTCACTTGCACTTTAAAAATTGTAAAGTATAATAGTGGTTAGGCATTAAGTAACTGAAGTAGTAAACTTTTAAGGGGTTTTTTGTTTTATTATATCAGTTGGTTCGATTTTGTCACTTGTTTTCCAACAGAAAAATATGTCAACATTTTAATTAAATTAATTGTAGAACCATCAGATGGTTTTCAAATCTAATGTGGCTTCCAATTAAATTGTACTTCAAATTAATTAAAAGGTTTTTTTTTTTTTTAAATATGTTTGAATAAATCATTAGGGTGAGATCACCAATATGGATTAAAAAATCTTAATTGATTGTGATCAAGTATTAAAAGCGGACCACTAAGCAAAGGTTAGGACTCCGTACTTTCTGCTTTACAATTTCCCGTGTATCCGACGAATACCCTTACCAGCTTCTCACAACCAACTCTTTGCGACAATTCTTGTGTTTACCGTTTTGTGAGCTTAATTTATGGCCACAAATTTGTATCTGCAATCTGGAAAAGCACTGACAGCTGCATGCATTGTTTCAACTACTCCGCGGTTGCCATCGAGGCTGAGTATGCGACAAGCCACTGCAACAAAGAATCAAAGTCGTGCCATCGTCGCATTGTCCGTCGATGTCCCACTACTTAGTGGACATGGACTATTTTTAGCCTGAAGATCAAAGCAATTGATCAACCGGAATGTCACGATAGTGCAACATTTGGTTGCGGAAAACCATTAACGATCAGAGCCCTAAAACATTCATATAATTAAAGAAAAACAGGCACAAACTGATATAAGACATAAACCTTTGCGATAGATGTGCCATCTCTGATGGTCTATATCTGCCCTGGTACGGCAGTCGGAAGTATATCTTCGTTTCCGAAATGCCCGCCCAGCTGTTTTGACCGCAAAAAACATGTTGTTTGTCATAGCCAAAGGGAAATTAATTACTATTTCTACGGCAGTTTCGCCGTAGCTGCGGGACAGTTTGAGCTTGCCAGTCGGTAACTTCGGTTCTAAGCCAAGCAACGTTGCCCCATGGATTTTAGTCAGGTGCTGGACAAGTGCGGGGACTACGGGAGATTCCAGGTGGTGCTCCTGTTGCTCTACGGCTACACAAATATACTCGGATCGTTACATTATTTTTCGCAAACACTGATCACCTTCACGCCGGAGCATTGGTGAGTCATCAATGTGGGAAAAGAGTGATTAAAAAAGGCTCTCCTGATGAAATCTTTCCACTAAAGGTGTTCCCACGACGATCTCTATGGTCTCGAAGTGGAAGAACTTCGGTCTGTGTACTCCAATGTCTCCGCCCCCGCCTGCACGCTCCTGCTGGGCATAGTCAATGGCACAGGAGTAGCAGCCGATGATGCAAAGTGCAGGAACTGGATCTTCAATCGGGAAAGTGGCTATGAGAGCATCACCACCGAGGTAACTTTTCTGGCGTCTTCGTTAGACGACACAGAATAAACAAAAGTGTTCCATAGTTAAAGTGGGTTTGTGACAAAGCCCACCATCCAGCTGTGGGTCAGTCCTTCTTCTTCATTGGATCTGTCGTGGGCACAATCACTTTTGGCTATCTATCGGATCGGATCGGCCGACTGCCATCCCTTCTGATGGCCACCATTTGCGGCGCCGCGGGCGACTTTGCGACATCATTTGTTAACACGTTGCCCTGGTTTGCCGCCTCAAGATTTGTCTCTGGATTGTCCACGGATACAATGTACTATCTGATGTATATATTGGGTAAGCGTCTGTGTTTTGTTTTAAAAATAGAAACAATATTATGAAAGTGTTCCGCTTCTGGCCATTTCATTTGCAATTAAATTACTCACCAGTTACTTTTAAATCCGCTTACACTTGTAATATGAATACTCATCGATAGCGATTTACAACCGATTTCCGGTAGCTGGAGGTAGTGATTAAGCATATGTAATGCAGAAACATTTATGAATGATTATGGATAATACATACTTGTAACTTAATCCATAAATGTAGCTTTAATCCTCGTACCGTTCTTTAGTCTTTGAGTACCTGAGCCCCAAGAGTCGAACATTTGGCCTAAACATCATCCTGGCCATCTTCTACTGCTTCGGGCTGATGACTTCTCCTTGGGCAGCCATCTGGATTGGCAACTGGAGGCACTACCTCTGGCTGGCCTCCCTCCCGGCTTTGGGGGTATTGATCTATCCCCTTCTGATTTGCGAGAGTGCTCAGTGGTTGTTGACCAAGAAGAAGTACGAAGAGGCGGTGGCCAGCTTGAAAAGAGTGGCCAAATTCAATGGATGCCAGGTGGAGGAATCTGTATTTGATGAGTTTGTCAAGCACTATCGGGAAAAGGAGCTGGAGGTTAGCAAGCTGGGCGATCAGGAGGACACGTTTCTGGGGATGTTTCTAACACCACGTTTGCGGAGATTCACATTGACCTTATTAGTAAAATCGTGAGTTACCAACCTCTCTAAATATACATCGAGTTGAAATATATTAATTTCTCCAAATCAAGCGTCATCATAACCCTCTCCTGCGATGTCATCAATCGGAACATGGAGGGCCTGGGAACCTCGCCTTTCAAGCTCTTCTCCTTCACCTCAGTGGTCTACCTACCCGCCGGAGTAGCCATCCTGCTGCTCCAAAATAAAATTGGCCGCAAGGGAATGGCCTGTGCCGCGCTGTTCGTGGGCGGACTTATCACCACGGCTACTGGACTTCTGATAGCGCATCTGGATCCAACAGAGAATGCCCTGCTGCTGGCCGTAATGGTGGCTCTGGGTCGGTTTGGAGCCACCATTTCCTACGATGCTGAGATCCAGTATGCGGCGGAGATAATTCCTACCAGTGTACGGGGGCAGGCGGTGTCCAATATCCACGTGGTGGGATTGGCCTCTAGTTCGCTCGCCTTTTATGTGATCTACCTGGCCCAGTACTACAAGCCCCTCCCCTCAATCTTCATCAGTATCTTAATGTTCTTCGGCGCCGGTCTGTGTCTCACATTGCCGGAAACCTTGGACAAGTAAGTTTTGCACTCAATTGTGATTCAAAGTACATATATGGTTGTTTATAAATCGAATTACTTTCAGAAAACTACCTGAAAACTTGGCGGACGGGGAGAATTTTGCCTTGAACGAGAGCTTTTTTTACTTTCCCTGCCTTCAGAAGAAGCGAACAAATGTGAAAACTGGCTCCGCCTGAGACGAGGATATGGAGTGATTGACAGGATAGAAAATAACTAGGCAAGGACGTGATTTTAAACGATCATTGTAAATGGCACATTGTCATCTTGTTAAATTATTTGATCGAAGACTGATTAATAGTTAGAAATTTCGAAAGTAAAGGTTTGTGATTCAAAAAATTACCCAACAACGCTTGTTTGTTTTTAAACAGAAAATGGGTTGGTGATTTAAATAATATTTAATAAAGGTAACCAATGGAAAACAAATAATGCCCTGTATTATTTATAAATTATCCACTAAGAGATTACATCATAAGCTGTTGTCTAAGCTGAGTCTTTTGTTTGGAAGTCTTTTCAGGACTATTTTTCATTCAAAATCAAATAATGACCTTCTGACGTGCAATCTCCACCGAATTTTGACGTCACACCAGAAGTTGTCGCCATAATCACTGAAAATAAGCGGCATCGCATGTTTGCAATCAGTAACCTCAAAAATCCATATTTATCTCCTCATCCCCAGTAATTGGGAAAATCAAAGGCCTAATTTTTTGAATGCGCCACTGCCTTGATTAATATTTAGAATTTGGATTAAGTACTAACTATTAAAATATGTTATACATAAAAGGAACAGGCTTGTATTATAAATTACGAACATGTGTGGTCAATTATTATTGCATTTTAATTTATTTCAATCCATGAATGAGATTTAATAAGTATCTTCTGGTTGATACGTTCTCCTCCTCTCATTCTACATGGCTTGTGCAATTTTATTTTCGCGAAAATACAATTGCAGGCAAGTCGAGAGCCTCATATCAAACTTTACTTTCGTTTCGTGCGGTTGACAATTTCGTAAATAGCTTGAGGCGTGCGATTTTCGGTCAGTGACTATACGGAGTTCTAATCCAGTGCTTTTACTCGGATGTTTCTTATCGCAAATATTCAAAAGAAAGCAAAATCAGAGCACATATGTACATGTGTATATGCATAAAGGTATTTAGATGAATCTGTAATCCATTTAAAATTTTTACCTTGACAAACCTATGTGTTCGTATCGACCAAACACAAAAGTCACCTGGCTTATTTAATTTGCCCATTTATTTACTTGATTTTATTTTCCCAGTTACAAAATACTTGCGTCCAAAATACTAGCCGCTTTTTAACGACACACAGAAAGTTTTAATGCCCGTCTGCTTCTGGCGCTATAACTAAAACGTAAACAAATCCGCAGTAGCACACAGTACACAAAATTTGACGAAAGGCTACAAGCTGTCAAACATCATCAGTACGATTCATTCCAGAGCTCAGTCTGGCAATCTCGGAGCGTACTAATTGGCTTTGAAAATTAAGCAAAATTAAGAGCGTCGCAAATGCAACGGCGGCGAAGATGAGTCCGACATCCCTCCGGAGACGAAACCATCCCATTTCCCGGTGATCAGTGGAGAGCGGTGGATGCAAGTGTTGCGATTCCGAAAGAACACCATGCTGGAGGTGGACAAGATCCTAGAGAAGTGCGGTGACTGCAACAGGCTGCAGCTCCTCATGCTGCTCCTCTTCTGTCTGATCAACGTGCTCTCGGCCCTACACTACTATTCCCAGACGATCATAAGCTTCGTGCCCAAATACTGGTAGGTTTCGCTGGGAGTCGCAGCCCTGCGAATACTTAATGCGTTACTCATCCGCCTAGGTGTGCAGATGGTTTCCCCTCCAGTGAGACGCCGGCTGAGTCAAGCTGCTGGCCACTCAGCCAGAATGGCAGTACCCCTCATACTTGCCACTCTTACGACTACGAGCTCTACATGGGCTATCAGAGCTTCTCCAGCGAAATGAATTGGATCTGCGCCGATGCCTGGAAGCTCACCCTTGGCCAGTCCATGTTCTTCGTGGGGTCTGTGATCGGCACTCTGACCCTCGGCTGCCTGGCCGACATCGTGGGACGCCTGCCCATTTTGATCGTGGCAAACCTCATCGCCATGACGGGAAACCTACTGACTATTATGGGCACGGACCTCACTCTCTTCTGCATTTTTCGCCTGATCTCGGGCTTTGCCACGGACAGCAATTTCGTGATGATGTATATTTTGGGTGAGTTTGAATTAGAATTTTAATTAATTTTTAAAAGAAAATCTTCATAGTTATGGAATACATGCGTCCATCCTTGCGTACCCTCGGCCTGAGCATCTGCATCGGGATGTTCTACTGCCTGGGTTCGATGGCAGCGCCCTGGATTGCCGTACTCACGGGCAGCTGGCGGGGATTCCTGCTGGCCACCTCCCTGCCCTTGCTTCTGGTGCCCTTCTTCTACTTGGTCGTCCCGGAGAGCATTCAGTGGCTCATTGCCAAGCAGAAATACGACAAGGCGGTGAGGTGCCTGAAGCGGGTGGCCAGGATCAATGGCAAGGTGGTGGAGGAGAGCGCCTTCGAGGAGTTCATCGAGGAGTGCAAGTACAGCCAAAAGAATCAGCCTGCCTCGCCCCACCTGCTGCACCTCTTCCAAACACCCCGCCTACGCCGCCACACGCTCATACTCTTCTTCAAGTCGTGAGTAGCCTACCAGACAAGATCTTGCCTCCTCTGATTGAATTGCATTTATGTGATCTCTCCCACGCGCCACAGAATGGTCATCACCCTCTGCTACGACGCGGTGTCGCGGAATGTTCAGGGCCTTGGCATCTCGCCATTTGTGATGTTCTCTCTCAGCGCCACCGCCATTCTGCCCGCCTGTCTCCTGATCATCGCCCTCCAAGATCGCATCGGACGCAAGGCGATGGCTTCCGTCTCTCTGCTCCTCAGCGGCATCTTCATCTCCGGTACCGGCGGTCTTCTCTTTGCTGCGTCTACCTCGAGTAAGAGTAAGTTTACCATGATCTTTTACAATAACGTAGCAATGAAAAATATCCATGAATGAGTCTAGACTTCAGTAGTGATATCCACTTAATCAAAAGACTGGAACCGCCCATCTCATATAGTTCTATCTTCCCCTAGCCACACTTTTGGTATCCCTCTCGGTGATCGGACGCTTTGGAGTGACGGTGGCATACAACTCCGGCGCCCAGTATGCCACGGAATTGATTCCCACCTGCGTTCGGGGTCAGGGAGTGGCCGCAGTGCATGTGGCCGGGTATGCCTTCACCTTCTTCAGCGCATACATCCTATTCACCAGAAGCATTTTCTCGCCCCTTCCGGAGATCATCCTGGGAGTCCTGTCACTTTTGGGTGCTGGCCTGTGTCTTCTGCTGCCGGAAACGCTTAATCGGGCCCTTCCCACCTCACTGGATGACGGAGAAAACTTTGGCAAGAACGATCGCTGGTACACATTCAGTTTCTTGGAGAAGCGGACACAATCGGCCACCACCCTGGCCACCCAGAACGCAAAAATGCCCTCGGATTCGTCAGTTTATTTCTAATGGATGTTTTTGTTTAAGTCTATTTTGTTATCGGTCAAGGGTCGATATCGATAGATATATGGTATACATCTAAGTTACACCTATAAATGCTTATGAAAAAATAAAACGTTAGAGAGGTAAAATAACTTCGGACTAACCCGAACTTCGGTGAAAGCTTTGCTTACATTAAGTATTCTCACTAATGACGAAGTTATGAAAAGTTTCTTAAAATAAAACTTTAATTTTAGGTTAAGATCAATGGTGGCTAAAATGAGAGATTTTGAGACACCTTTTAGTCAATATTTCAGACAATTCGGATCGGATTTCGAAAAGGAATACCATTAACCAATCAGGGATCCTAGTAGCTTCGACCTGGACCAAAATATTGTAAAAGTTGGGAAATAAAATTTTGGGTCGATTTTTGGCCAAAATCATGATGTTACCCCTTTGAAAAATTTCGAAAATTGGGTCAGATTTTCGATGGCCAGGTTTTGATTGAAAATGATAATTCTCGAATATTTAAGATCGGAAAGGTATATCATTCCCAAATCGCATTATTATTGACAAAAATATAGCATTTTCCCCGAAAAAGAGCCATGGACACTGTGTTGACCAAGTTATGATTATCGGATGGCTAAAATGCGAGATTTCCAGACACCTTTTAGTCAATATTTCAGACAATTCGGATCGGATTTCGAAAAGGAATACCATTAACCAATCAGGGATCCTAGTAGCTTCGACCTGGACCAAAATATTGTAAAAGTTGGGAAATAAAATTTTGGGTCGATTTTTGGCCAAAATCATGATGTTACCCCTTTGAAAAATTTCGAAAATTGGGTCAGATTTTCGATGGCCAGGTTTTGATTGAAAATTATAATTCTCGAATATTTAAGATCGGAAAGGTATATCATTCACAAATCGCATTATTATTGACAAAAATATAGCATTTTCCCCGAAAAAGTGCCATGGACACTGTGTTGACCAAGTTATGATTATCGGATGGCTAAAATGCGAGATTTCCAGACACCTTTTAGTCAATATTTCAGACAATTCGGATCGGATTTCGAAAAGGAATACCATTAACCAATCAGGGATCCTAGTAGCTTCGACCTGGACCAAAATATTGTAAAAGTTGGGAAATAAAATTTTGGGTCGATTTTTGGCCAAAATCATGATGTTACCCCTTTGAAAAATTTCGAAAATTGGGTCAGATTTTCGATGGCCAGGTTTTGATTGAAAATGATAATTCTCGAATATCTAAGATCGGAAAGGTATATCAATCGGAAATCGCATTGTTTAGTCAATATTTTTAGTCAATATTTCAGACAATTCGGATCGGATTTCGAAAAGGAATACCATTAACCAATCAGGGATCCTAGTAGCTTCGACCTGGACCAAAATATTGTAAAAGTTGGGAAATAAAATTTTGGGTCGATTTTTGGCCAAAATCATGATGTTACCCCTTTGAAAAATTTCGAAAATTGGGTCAGATTTTCGATGGCCAGGTTTTGATTGAAAATGATAATTCTCGAATATCTAAGATCGGAAAGGTATATCAATCGGAAATCGCATTATTATTTACAAAAATATAGCATTTTCCCCGAAAAAGATCCATGGACACTCCATGGAAGATCCATGGAGTTAAGATTATTGGATGGCTAAAATGCGAGATTTCCAGACACCTTTTAGTCAATATTTCAGACAATTCGGATCGGATTTCGAAAAGGAATACCATTAACCAATCAGGGATCCTAGTAGCTTCGACCTGGACCAAAATATTGTAAAAGTTGGGAAATAAAATTTTGGGTCGATTTTTGGCCAAAATCATGATGTTACCCCTTTGAAAAATTTCGAAAATTTGGTCAGATTTTCGATGGCCAGGTTTTGATTGAAAATGATAATTCTCGAATATCTAAGATCGGAAAGGTATATCATACGCAAATCGCATTATTATTGACAAAAATATAGCATTTTCCCCGAAAAATATCCATGGACACTGTGTTGACCAAGTTATGATTATCGGATGGCTAAAATGCGAGATTTTGAGACACCTTTTAGTCAATATTTCAGACAATTCGGATCGGATTTCGAAAAGGAATACCATTAACCAATCAGGGATCCTAGTAGCTTCGACCTGGACCAAAATATTGTAAAAGTTGGGAAATAAAATTTTGGGTCGATTTTTGGCCAAAATCATGATGTTACCCCTTTGAAAAATTTCGAAAATTGGGTCAGATTTTCGATGGCCAGGTTTTGATTGAAAATTATAATTCTCGAATATTTAAGATCGGAAAGGTATATCATTCACAAATCGCATTATTATTGACAAAAATATAGCATTTTCCCCGAAAAAGAGCCATGGACACTGTGTTGACCAAGTTATGATTATCGGATGGCTAAAATGCGAGATTTCCAGACACCTTTTAGTCAATATTTCAGACAATTCGGATCGGATTTCGAAAAGGAATACCATTAACCAATCAGGGATCCTAGTAGCTTCGACCTGGACCAAAATATTGTAAAAGTTGGGAAATAAAATTTTGGGTCGATTTTTGGCCAAAATCATGATGTTACCCCTTTGAAAAATTTCGAAAATTGGGTCAGATTTTCGATGGCCAGGTTTTGATTGAAAATGATAATTCTCGAATATCTAAGATCGGAAAGGTATATCAATCGGAAATCGCATTATTATTTACAAAAATATAGCATTTTCCCCGAAAAAGATCCATGGACACTCCATGGAAGATCCATGGAGTTAAGATTATTGGATGGCTAAAATGCGAGATTTCCAGACACCTTTTAGTCAATATTTCAGACAATTCGGATCGGATTTCGAAAAGGAATACCATTAACCAATCAGGGATCCTAGTAGCTTCGACCTGGACCAAAATATTGTAAAAGTTGGGAAATAAAATTTTGGGTCGATTTTTGGCCAAAATCATGATGTTACCCCTTTGAAAAATTTCGAAAATTTGGTCAGATTTTCGATGGCCAGGTTTTGATTGAAAATGATAATTCTCGAATATCTAAGATCGGAAAGGCATATCATACGCAAATCGCATTATTATTGACAAAAATATAGCATTTTCCCCGAAAAATATCCATGGACACTGTGTTGACCAAGTTATGATTATCGGATGGCTAAAATGCGAGATTTTGAGACACCTTTTAGTCAATATTTCAGACAATTCGGATCGGATTTCGAAAAGGAATACCATTAACCAATCAGGGATCCTAGTAGCTTCGACCTGGACCAAAATATTGTAAAAGTTGGGAAATAAAATTTTGGGTCGATTTTTGGCCAAAATCATGATGTTACCCCTTTGAAAAATTTCGAAAATTGGGTCAGATTTTCGATGGCCAGGTTTTGATTGAAAATGATAATTCTCGAATATCTAAGATCGGAAAGGTATATCAATCGGAAATCGCATTGTTTAGTCAATATTTTTAGTCAATATTTCAGACAATTCGGATCGGATTTCGAAAAGGAATACCATTAACCAATCAGGGATCCTAGTAGCTTCGACCTGGACCAAAATATTGTAAAAGTTGGGAAATAAAATTTTGGGTCGATTTTTGGCCAAAATCATGATGTTACCCCTTTGAAAAATTTCGAAAATTGGGTCAGATTTTCGATGGCCAGGTTTTGATTGAAAATGATAATTCTCGAATATCTAAGATCGGAAAGGTATATCAATCGGAAATCGCATTATTATTTACAAAAATATAGCATTTTCCCCGAAAAAGAGCCATGGACACTGTGTTGACCAAGTTATGATTATCGGATGGCTAAAATGCGAGATTTCCAGACACCTTTTAGTCAATATTTCAGACAATTCGGATCGGATTTCGAAAAGGAATACCATTAACCAATCAGGGATCCTAGTAGCTTCGACCTGGACCAAAATATTGTAAAAGTTGGGAAATAAAATTTTGGGTCGATTTTTGGCCAAAATCATGATGTTACCCCTTTGAAAAATTTCGAAAATTGGGTCAGATTTTCGATGGCCAGGTTTTGATTGAAAATGATAATTCTCGAATATCTAAGATCGGAAAGGTATATCAATCGGAAATCGCATTGTTTAGTCAATATTTTTAGTCAATATTTCAGACAATTCGGATCGGATTTCGAAAAGGAATACCATTAACCAATCAGGGATCCTAGTAGCTTCGACCTGGACCAAAATATTGTAAAAGTTGGGAAATAAAATTTTGGGTCGATTTTTGGCCAAAATCATGATGTTACCCCTTTGAAAAATTTCGAAAATTGGGTCAGATTTTCGATGGCCAGGTTTTGATTGAAAATGATAATTCTCGAATATCTAAGATCGGAAAGGTATATCAATCGGAAATCGCATTATTATTTACAAAAATATAGCATTTTCCCCGAAAAAGATCCATGGACACTCCATGGAAGATCCATGGAGTTAAGATTATTGGATGGCTAAAATGCGAGATTTCCAGACACCTTTTAGTCAATATTTCAGACAATTCGGATCGGATTTCGAAAAGGAATACCATTAACCAATCAGGGATCCTAGTAGCTTCGACCTGGACCAAAATATTGTAAAAGTTGGGAAATTAGCCACCCCTTTGAAAAATTTCGAAAATTAAGTCAGATTTTCGATGGCCAGGTTTTGATTGAAAATTATAATTCTCGAATATCTAAGATCGGAAAGGTATATCATTCACAAATCGCATTATTATTGACAAAAATATAGCATTTTCCCCGAAAAAGATCCATGGACACTGTGTTGACCAAGTTATGATTATCGGATGGCTAAAATGCGAGATTTCCAGACACCTTTTAGTCAATATTTCAGACAATTCGGATCGGATTTCGAATAGGAATACCATTAACCAATCAGGGATCCTAGTAGCTTCGACCTGGACCAAAATATTGTAAAAGTTGGGAAATAAAATTTTGGGTCGATTTTTGGCCAAAATCATGATGTTACCCCTTTGAAAAATTTCGAAAATTGGGTCAGATTTTCGATGGCCAGGTTTTGATTGAAAATGATAATTCTCGAATATTTAAGATCGGAAAGGTATATCATTCCCAAATCGCATTATTATTGACAAAAATATAGCATTTTCCCCGAAAAAGAGCCATGGACACTGTGTTGACCAAGTTATGATTATCGGATGGCTAAAATGCGAGATTTCCAGACACCTTTTAGTCAATATTTCAGACAATTCGGATCGGATTTCGAAAAGGAATACCATTAACCAATCAGGGATCCTAGTAGCTTCGACCTGGACCAAAATATTGTAAAAGTTGGGAAATAAAATGTTGGGTCGGTTTTTGGCCAAAATCATGATGTTACCCCTTTGAAAAATTTCGAAAATATTGGCCGATATCATGATTTGGAAAAAATTGGGAAAATGGGGTCCGATTTTTGTTTGGCCAGGTTTTGATTGAATTGGATAGTTTTCGGATATCTAAGATCGGGAAGGTATAACATTCGCCAATCGCCTTATTATTGGAAAAAGGCATTTTCCCTGAAATAAATCCATGTTGGCCAAGTTGGTTTGAGTGACTTATGAATGAGACACTTCCTTGTGTGAATTCCTTTCCTAAAACTAAATATTTTTTAGCAACATTATTGTGCCAGATGTACCTGGTTTTATTAGCTACGCATCCCCAGTTTACTTACTTAATATCTATATAATGATAAGAAATAAAGCTGGTATTAAGTCATTTGAAGAAACACCTCTTTAGGGCTCGATAGAGACTGTCGCCAGACACCAATTACCGGCCTCAGTCGGAAACTCTTTCTTTGTCCTATTGCGGGGGTGCCATAATGCCGCTCCCGGATTTTCGGTGTTTGAAGAGTATTAGAACTATACGACCCATAAGATAATGTTATATATTGAGCTACTGAGGCCCCTTCGTTTGCATCAGTAGCTAGCTGGCGATTGTGGCGGGTGCGCACTTTGAAATGGATCTTGAGAAAGTCCTGGACAAGTGCGGGAGCTTCGGGCCCTATCAGATTCTACTGCTGGGCCTCTTCGGATACACAAACATTGTCTCTTCCTTGCACTACTTTTCACAGACTCTCATCAGTTTTACACCACCCTTCAGGTAAAAATCTGCAACTTCATGGTTACTAAATATTTCCATTAATACGCTTTGTTTTTAGATGTTCTTTGTCAACTGCAGATTTTTCAGAGAATGACACCTCGGTGGAGACTTGTACTTTTAAGCAATATAATGGCCAAGTTTCAAAGTGCTACTCTTGGCAATACGAAAGGGAAGAAAACTATGAAAGCATCACAACAGAAGTAAATATTACACACAATTATCATCGTTATCGTTAAATATTATATATTTAGCTCGATTGGGTCTGCGACGAAGCCTTTAACCTGGCTGTGGGGCAATCCTTTTTCTTCGTGGGCTCTGTAATGGGGAGCATCTTCTTTGGATATCTCGCAGATCGCATTGGAAGACTACCAGCCTGCATTTTGACTACCTTGACAGGGGCAGCTGGAGACTTCTTGACCTCTTTTGTGAGTGATCTACCATGGTTTTCATTTACCCGCTTTGTTTCGGGACTTTCGTTGGACACTCAATATGTCCTGATGTATATTTTGGGTAAGTTCAGTGGCATTGATAAAAAAAAAGGTAAAATGAAAAGCTAATTTTTTGTAGTTTTCGAGTACCTGAGTCCTAAACACCGTACGTTTGGATTGAACATCATCCTGGCCCTATTCTACTGCTTTGGTCTGATGATCTCGCCGTGGATAGCCATTTGGCTAGGAAGCTGGCGAAAATACCTTTGGGCAACTTCCCTGCCAGCTCTGGGAATGCTAATTTACCCTTTTTGTCTCCACGAAAGTGTTGAATGGCTGCTGACCAAAGGAAAATTCGACAAGGCCGCTAACAATCTGCGCAGTATTGCCAAAATGAATGGCCGAAAAGTAGACGACGCTGTTTTCGATGAATTTATTAAATTCTACACTTTAAAGCTAAAAAGTAATCAGAAGGCGAACAAAGACACTTTCATGGGAATGCTGAAAACGCCGAGGCTCAGGAGGTTTACAATAACTCTTCTAATTAAATCGTGAGTGAAGAAATGTACTTTGATATAATCTTTATACAATATTGGATACATTTTTTTCCAGAGTGATCATCACACTGGCTTTTGATATCCTGAATCGCAATGTTGAAGGCGTAGGAACTTCTCCTTTTAAGCTTTTCTCCTACACAGGAATCTGCTATTTTCCAGCGGGTCTATCCCTTATACTGTTCCAGAATAGAATCGGAAGAAAAGGAATGGCATTTGCCTCTCTTTTCGGAGGCGGCATTATTACAGCTGTCACTGGTTACCTGGTGGGCACCCTCGATCCGGCGAAGTACTCATTGCTCCTGGCCATCATGGTGGGCTTGGGTCGTTTCGGAGGTTCCGTCGCCTACGATGCAGAGGCCCAGTATGCGGCAGAGATTATACCTACCAGTGTCCGAGGCAGAGGAGTGGCCAACATTCATGTTATAGGCTATGGGTTCGGGTTCTTCAGTTCATACATCATCTATCTGGGCACAATTTACAAGCCCCTGCCTTCGTTCCTGCTCAGTTTCTTGCTCTTCATTGGAGCCGCCTTGTGCCTCAGTCTACCAGAAACTTTACACAAGTAAGTATCGTAAGAGTAATTTAGATTTTCCATAGATCTGTATCTTATGTTTTTCCTAGGAAACTACCACAAACTTTGGAGGAAGGAGAGGTATTTGCAAAAGGCGAGAAGTGGTACTACTTTCCCTGCTTTTCGCGCCAAAAGCATTTCAACAAATCCGAATCTCAGTTGGAGTCAGCTCATTAGATTATAAAATAGTTTTACTAAGCCAATAAAAAAATAATAAAAAAAAAACAAATGGTATTATAAACAAATCCCTCACAAAGCTTTTTCTACAAGTTTGTTTGGTTATTCACACGTTTGATCCTCAGCTCAGACGCACATTACGAGTTTTTAGTGTCCATCTGTGAGGCTTGTTTAAATAAACTCGTTGGTATCGTATGTTCTGAAATAATTTATTGGATTACAGTCTTATAAGATAAGTACGCCCTAAGCAACTAGACAAGTTACCGTGACGTTGTTGTACTCTATGGCTGGGCTAAGATAATCTCCAAGCTTAAAAGCCCTTAGAGCGTACATTGTTTTCCTTTTAACAAATATTAAGTTAACGTGCTTACAAATGAAAAACACAATGATATTTAAAGTAAACTGAGATGAAAGCCTAGACGATAAATAATACTTTTGATTGGTGGAAATTTTTCAAGATTTTCAAGATTTTTCAATGCAATTTAAAATCATCCTAAAACTGAGCTACAAAATATATTCCATTTATAAATATCTAGACTTGGGTGTTGCATTGGGTATATGAACAAGTAGTCAAAATTGAATGAATTTTAGACAAGCATCTGCTGGTTATATTTCTATATCTCAGAGGTGAATAACACTATACCTATGACATCTTTAAATAATAATCTTCACGTTTCAAAAATGTAAACCAAAAAAAAACCTAATATTAGCTAAAGAACAAAAGCTTTGATATATTAAACTCATCAAACACATTTTAAATATGTATCTTAAAATACTTTTTAGAAAAGGCTGTTCCTAGTTAATATAATATATGTGTCTAAAACAACAACTTTTTAATAAAACTTTTATATTATTTTTTTATGGATTTCGTTAACGTGTATCCCGCTTAGTTAGAAAAATTATTTCATCATTTTAAGAGCAACAACTAGAAGATTCAATTGTCTGCGATCCTAAATCTTTAAAGCTTTATTTGCCGGACTGTAGGACTTAGCAGGCCCCATTAAACTCCCAAAACAAGATAAGGAGGTCATGCCTATGCTGGAAGTTGTTTATTTAAGTAAACATAGCCGTGAACCAGAACCACACGCCAAAACTTAAGAAGCCAGACGTCGGAAATTGTTCAAAAGCTTCTTCCTCCTCTCAAGATAAAGTCTAGCCGGATTTTTTTGTTTGCAGGGTATTAGCGCCATATAGACGCCACTCGCACTCGGATACGGATTCGGATTTGGGCTCGGGCTCGTGTATATAACCAACTATTTGGAAGCCTTCGTGGACATCAGTCGTTCATTCGCGATCGTTGCCAACGCGTGCTGAAAGATGGATCTCGAGCGCGTCCTGGAAAAGTGTGGGAACTTCGGTCCCTACCAGATCCTATTACTGGGTCTCTACGGATGGACAAACATTGTGTCCTCTCTACACTACTTCTCACAGACCATCATCAGTTTTACGCCCTCGCACAGGTAATCTTTCTCTTTTTTCTGCTTTAAGAAGAAAAAATATAATTTTATAAATGTTAATATATTTCAGATGCTCTGTGCCGTTAAACCAATATCCAGGAAACTATACAGAACTAACAAGTTGCAGTTATAGAATGTATGATCCAGACAATAGCTCATATTGGGAGTCCAAGTGCGAGGCATGGGACTTTGAAAAGGAAAGTGGCTACGAAAGCATCACCACCGAGGTAACGTCAGCCCAAAAGTATGAAACATGTTTGATGGCTAAACAGTCTCTCCCAATATATTGACTACAGCTCGGATGGGTCTGCGACGATGCCTACAAGCTGGCGGTGGGCCAGTCCTTTTTCTTCATAGGCTCTGTCCTGGGCAGCATCTTTTTTGGCTATCTGGCGGATCGCATTGGCCGACTGCCAGCCTGCGTCTTGACCACCTTGACTGGAGCTTCTGGGGACTTCTTCACCTCCTTTGTGAACAATCTGCCCTGGTTCTGCTTCACACGATTTGTTTCCGGTCTCTCCACGGATACGCAATATGTTCTCATGTACATTTTGGGTAAGTGCACTGACGTCCTTCAAACATTCACGCCATTATTCTCAATATTTTTAAAGTGTTTGAGTACCTAAGCCCAAAGCACCGCACCTTCGGACTTAATATCATCCTGGGCGTATTCTATTGCATCGGATTGATGATCTCCCCATGGATGGCCATTTACTTGGGTAGCTGGAGAAGCTATCTCTGGGCCGCTTCCCTGCCAGCTCTGGGAATGCTGTCCTTCCCTGTTTTCCTCCACGAGAGCGTCGAGTGGTTGCTGACCAAGGGCAAGTTCGACAAGGCTGTTAGCAATCTTAAGCGCATTGCGAAATTCAATGGACGAGAGGTAGAGGACTCTGTGTTTGATGAGTTCATTAAACACTACCGTGAAAAACTGAAAAGGGTGGAGAACAAGTCCTCAGATACTTTCATGGGCATGTTGAGAACACCCAGACTGAGAAAGTTTACCATAATCCTCTTGATTAAATCGTAAGTTCTTCTTCATTCATTTCTTCAAACTTTTAATATATAATTAACTTTCAGAATGATCGTGACCATTGCCTTTGATATCCTGAGCCGTAATGTGGAAGGCGTTGGCATTTCTCCCTTTAACCTCTTCTCCTACACTGGATTCTGTTACTTGCCAGCCGGGCTCATCATTATTCTGTTCCAAAATAAGATTGGCCGGAAGGGAATGGCCTGCTCCTCGCTCTTTGTTGGCGGAGTCATCACGGCGGCCACTGGTTACCTGCTGGCTACCCTCAGTCCGGAGCAACACTCCCTTATCCTGGCCTTCATGGTGGGTCTGGGGAGGTTCGGTGCTGTGGTGGCCTACGACGCAGAGGCCCAGTATGCGGCGGAGATCATACCGACCAGCGTCCGGGGCAGAGGAGTCGCCAACATCCACGTGGTGGGAAATGGATTCGGGTTCTTCAGTTCGTACATCATTTTTCTGGGCACGATCTTCAAGCCCCTGCCCTCCATGCTCATCAGTGTTCTGCTCTTCATTGGAGCGGCACTCTGCCTCGTTCTTCCCGAGACCCTGCACAAGTAAGTTTTTGGAACATACTTTTCTTCCTAAACAGAGAATTTATTTCTAATATTACTTCCATCAGGCAACTACCTCAGACCCTGGAAGAGGGCGAGACATTCGCCAAAGGCGAGAAGTGGTACTTCTTCCCTTGTTTCTCGCAAAGACAACAGAAAACCAAAACAGCAGCTAAGCTAGAATATGCCAATGAATTTACTAAGTAGTTATAATGAATGTACATAAACAAAATAAAATATAATTCTCCATAATACCCTCACAATAATACAAACCCTAATTGGTCTCTAAACCTTTTTATGGATGAGGACTTATGAGGGGCCCTAATGTCTAGATCTACCGAACGGTTGAAATTTCATCACTGATCGCATTCTAAAAGTCAACAACCTAAGCCCCAGCTCAGACATCTAATAACCTGTATAGTGGGGCCTCTGTAGGTAGGTTGTTCCGGATTCTTTACTACCGTCCGAGATAATACAAGCTCTAAGTGCAGTTTCACAGGCTTCTTTTGGCGCCAGCCAGTGGCGTTGCTGTAATCTATACTATATATAATCTATATCTCTAAACGGGCTTCCCATTAAACTGTCAGAAGACAAAACAAAGCATTCAAGTATCCGTTTAATCCCCTCGTTAAGCAAATGCCGGTTGGGCGTGACTTACACCACGCCAGTGGCTAAAGCTTCTATAATAAAAATTTAAGACAAAGTCAACAGAGTCCAAATTTTTGAGAAAGTCCGTAACCTGGCCAGTGGGCCAAGTTAAATGCCTGATAAGCGTAAAAATACGCATTTTGACGTTTTCAAGCGATCAAGGTCAGCATCCAATCGGTTGTTATAAGCGGAAGTTGGATACGTTTTTTTAAACCTTGTAAGATCTTACCTTTCGTTTAAGTAACCGGCTCTTTACATCCTGCGTAGGGTACTTGTCCGCTTGTTTATATTAACCAAGCCGTTTATCATCGGCACACACCCCAAAAACTGCCTGATAGATAGCCAGGTCCAATCTCTGTTACTGGGTAATTAGCTAGGCTAATCAGAAACAACGCCTGTATCTTTATACTATATAAGGCAGCTTCTGATCCCGGCAAAGCATCAAAATACTACGCGCACAGACAGAATGTAGGTGCCTCTTCGCCTGGAACTCCACAAAAATAAAAACATTCTCAAAAGATTTTTTCTAAATAAAAAATATATAATATTATACAAAATGGATTTCGACCGCGTACTAGAGAAGTGCGGAAACTTCGGTAGATTTCAGTTTGTTGTTCTAATTCTGTATGGCTACACAAATATACTAAGTTCGCTGCACTATTTCTCTCAGACCCTGATCACTTTTACTCCCGAGCACTGGTAAGTTTTTGAAAAGGATTCTTGACTTCTAATGAGTGTTACCCTTGACATTTTATTCCTCAGGTGCTCCCATGACGACTTAATGGGCTTGAGTGCCGCAGAACTGCGATCCATTTACTCAAATGTTTCCCACCCAGCTTGTACTCCTCTGTCCGCGGTGATCAATGGCTCTGGCGTGGCCTCGGAGTCCGAGTCCTGCCAGGATTGGATCTTCGAGCGGGAGAATGGCTACGAGAGTCTCACCACCGAACTGGGATGGGTATGCGACAAATCGCACCAGCCAGCGGTGGGTCAGTCCTTTTTCTTCCTTGGATCTGTGGTGGGCACAATAACCTTTGGCTTCTTGTCGGATCACATTGGTCGTCTGCCTGCCATGTTGATGGCTGCCATCTCTGGCGCCACAGGTGATTTCATCACCTCCTTTGTGCACACCCTGCCTTGGTTCGCCTTCTCCAGATTTGTCTCGGGTCTGTCCACGGACACCATGTACTATCTGATGTACATTTTGGGTGAGTTTAGTCCCTGAGAGTTGAAAACTTAAACTTATCGAGACCTTTATTAGTTTTCGAGTACTTGAGTCCCAAGCGTCGCACTTTCGGTCTGAACATCATCCTGGCGGTGTTTTATTGCTTTGGTTTGGTGACTTCTCCCTGGATCGCCATGTGGATTGGCAACTGGCGCCGGTACCTCTGGGTGGCATCCCTTCCCGCTCTGGGGGTGCTCATCTACCCCTTGTTCATCTGCGAAAGCGCCCAGTGGCTGTTGACAAAAAAGAAGTACGACGAGGCTGTGGCCTGTCTCAAGAAAGTGGCCAAATTCAATGGTCGCCAGGTGGAGGACTCCGTTTTTGATGAGTTTGTTAAGCACTACCGCGAAAAGATGAATCAGGAAAGTCAAGCGAACAAGCAAACGGACACGTTCCTGGGAATGTTCAAGACCCCGCGTCTGAGACGTTTTACCACCACACTTTTGGTTAAATCGTAAGTATAATTGGGATTAGACAGAATACTTTTACCTTACAAATTTATAATTCCTAAAAGGGTCATCATAACACTATCATACGATGTGATCAACCGGAATATGGAGGGCCTGGGATCGTCGCCCTTCAAACTTTTCTCCCTGACCTCCACAGTGTATCTCCCAGCTGGATTTGCTATCCTTTTGCTGCAAAACAGGATCGGTCGCAAGGGAATGGCCTGCGGAGCTTTAATGGTGGGTGCAATTATTACAGCAGTTACTGGGTTCCTGATCGCCTTCCTGGACCCCAATGAGAACGCCGTCCTGCTGGCCTGCATGGTGGCATTGGGTCGTTTCGGTACCACTGTCTCCTACGATGCGGAGATCCAATACGCGGCTGAAATCATACCAACCAGTGTCCGGGGACAGGCGGTGTCTAACATTCATGTGGTGGGCTTGGCCTCCAGTTCGCTGGCTTTTTATGTGATTTATCTGGCTCAGTTCTACAAGCCACTTCCCTCAATCTTTATCAGTATTCTGATGTTCCTTGGAGCGCTTCTCTGCTTATCGCTTCCAGAGACTTTGCACAAGTAAGACTAACATAATCTTGACTTCCTTTTAAATTTTGTTATTAAAACCCTTTTGTTTTATAGAAAACTACCGGAAACTCTGGCCGATGGCGAACAATTTGCAATGAACGAGAGCTGCTTCTACTTCCCCTGCTTGCAAAAACGTCGCGAAAGTCTGACCAAGCATGAGGAATTCAAGTCTGAACCCTAGAGAGTGATGCAACTGAAACCAACTACTTTGGAACCTGCTAGCCGAATAACCTGATGATGGAGTCAATGTCGTATTGGCTTTTGTAACCGAATGGTCTGATAGTAATTACTCATGTTAAGAATGCATAGTAATTTAACCCTAACCGTTGGTTAGAAATACACTTGTCTAACCGTATATATCCAAAAAGAACTGCTAATCCTATATGTATTTTATACTCAATATCTTTTCCAATAAAATTATCGATAAAAACAAATATTGAATTTCAATATAGTCTCCTATAGGAAGATAAGAGACTCCCGTTTGTAAACAGAAGAACAGAATATATCCCTCATAAAAGACCTTTACACAATTAAATACGCTAACATAGTTTTAAATTTGAATTGGGTTTGTATATTTAATGTTTTTTTTTTTAGAATTTAAATAATTATTATCAGTTTGCTTAATGGTTCCGTTTAGCTTAAGGATCAAGATCCAAATAAGAACAATCAGTTACTGGCCTAAGTAGTATAGCACTTCTGCAGCTTAGCGTTTATACAAAAAGCTCTTACTCTTAAGTTTTGAATGGGTCTCAGTTAAGTGATTTGTGCCGCTTAAGTGTTAACTTTACGATTTCATCTTATACACAATCAGCGTTTTGGAAAAAGAAGGTTTTGTTAGAGTAAAATTTACAGGCTAGAGCTAGAGTAGACGTACATAAATTTATATAATTGGGAAAACTCTATATATATTTGTAAATATAAGAAAGGCTTCCGCGTCGGCTTCGGCATACTGAGCACACTTCATAGGCATAGGATATCCATCCAACTGGCCGTAGAATCGAGTAGGGATTGGATCTCTCGAGGCTTGTGGGTTGTGGTCTTACAATCTAAAGAAAAATTGGTTATCTAAACTACGAACTACTGAGGTCCTATCTCTGGCTCTCAGTGCTTGGCATCCTTCAGGGCCTGCTCCTCGCGATCGGCATCGATCAGGGACTGCTTGCGCTTTCCGTTCGAGGATGACTCCATCTGCTTGGCGTCGATCAGGGAGTGTTTTCGCTTGTACTTCTCCAGCTCCGAGTCGGATTCCTCGTCATCGTTCCGGTTGTGCAGGCACGGGAAGTCGAACATGCGCTCGCCCTTGCCGAACACCTCTCCTTCCTCGATGGTTGTGGGCAGGCTCCTAAAACAAAGTAAATAATATGTGGAATTAATAATTTTTCTATGGTGGAGAATAAATACTCCTAATGCTGTTAATCTTGAGAAAAAATAATTAAGAAGAAACTAACAATTAATTATGGCAAACTTGTTTATAATTAATGATTACTATCTGCTGATTAAAAGTAAGATTTATGGTTACAGCCGTCATAGCCATGACCTTCCTAGTTTCTGTTTACGAACAAATTAATCACAAATCACAGTGATAAGCAGATAAAGCTATAAATTATTCAACTCTAATATAAAATTTCCCATTTGTAATCTGAAATGTAATCACGTTGTAATCTTTACTAACCTATTGAGTGTCTCGGGCAGCAGCAGGCAGACAAAAGATCCTGCGAAGAAGAGCACACCCAGGATAATCGAGGGGGCCGCCTTGAAGAAGGTTCCCAGCCAAAGGATGTAGGGCGCCAGGAAAGAGGCCGCGAAACCGGCCACGTGAACTGCTGCCACGCCCTGTCCCCGAACGCAGGTGGGAATTAGTTCGGTGGCGTACTGAGATCCCGACTCATAGGAAATGGCCACTCCAAACCGAGCGGCGATTGTAAGACACGCCAGCAGAATGGCGTTGTGACTGTGCTGCTGATAGGCTATAGCAATGCCAGCGGCGGCGGTAAAAAGTCCGCCCACCAACAGAGATCCCGAGGCCATGCCCTTGCGACCAATCTTGTCCTGGAGCAGGACCAAGAGTATGCTCGAGGGAAGCACTGCCAGAGCGCTCAGGGAGAACATGATGAAGGGTGAGATGCCCATGCCCTCCACGTTGCGGGAAACTGCGTCATAGCACAAGGTGATCACCATGCTGGAAAAGGTTAAGTTAGTAAGATCGTTTAAAAAACCTTCTTTTTAAAAGGACCTACCTCTTGAAGAACAAAATAAGCGTATTCTTTCGCATGCGCGGCGTCCGGAACATATCCAGAAGCGTGGCATGTTTCTTGTCATCGCCTCCCTGCATCTCCCGCGTCATCTGGCAGTGGCGCCGGAACTCGTCAAAGTCCTGCTGTGTCACCCGGCAGCCATTGAACTTGGCCACCCGCTTCAGCCTGACAATGGCTCCGTCGATGTCGTTCCGGGTGACCAGCCACTGAGCACTCTCCTGCACCGCAAAGTAGTAGAGTACCACCAAAAGAATGGGCAGGGAGGTGCAGGCTAGGTAAATCTGCCAGTGCCCAGCCAGAACCGCCAACCAGGGCGTACACACCAGTCCCAAGCAATAGAACAGGCCAACAGCCATGTTTAGACCCAGTGTCCTCATGCTGGGGCGTATATATTCGAGCACTGGAAGTTATATTTAAAAAATAATAATATAAATTCCTTTTAAACTAAATTGTAACTCACCTATTATGTACATGAGATAGAAGTTCGTATCGGCAGCCAGTCCAGATATGAAACGACAAAGAGTGAAAGTACCAACGCTCTTTGTAAATATTGTGGAAAAGTCTCCGGCAAAGCCGCAGAAGTTGGACAATATCAGGGCGGGAACACGGCCAATCTTATCGGATAGCAATCCGTAAAACAGAGTTCCGACAACGGAGCCAATGAAAAACAGAGACTGCCCGATGCGAGCCTTGTACGCTGAGTCACAGACCCAGTTTAGCTAAAAAAAACAAACGATCTTTGATTATAAAATACTTATAGTAAATTATTATGTTTAACTCACTTCTGTATTCATGCTCCTGTAACCGAAATCATAGTTGTAGATCCATCGCTCGCACTTCTCCGTGCTGGCTATACCATTGTGTCCAACGACGTCCTCCAGTCGCGTGCACGATGGATTCTCAAACTTGGAATAGATTTCGGCTATCTCCTTATAGGTCATATTCACTAGCTTTTCATGATAGCACCAGTGATCTGGCACGAAACTAATGACTGTCTGGGTAAAGTAATGCTGAAAATAAATGACAAATCTTTCAATAACTTTTCCAGGATATAATATCATCAACTGACTCACCATCGATACGATGATATTAATGAATCCGAAGAGGGCGAGTATCATGAACTGGTAGCGATTGAAGTCGCCACATTTGGCCAGAATTTGATCGAAGTCCATGTTGAAATGAGTTCAGTTGAAGCTAAGGGGGGTTGAGTTGAGGTTGGGCAGGGCGTTTGTACTATCGAAGGTTGTGACGTGGTCCCTCCGAATGAAGAGTTTTGGGGAGAAGGCAAGGCCAATAGGCAGCGTAGTTCACATGTATTTTATCACAATTTATTGTTAGTTGTCACATTTGTAGCTTTGGCTTGGTCTGTAATGAAGAACACATGTAGACAATTAATATTATTGGATCGCCTTTTAGCAAGAATGTTCTGAACCTTAAGTACACAAACAAAATCAAATCTATGAATACTAGAACTGCATTTTATTCTAAAAATTCTAAGAATATTCTGGCATAGTTTATTTATTAGGGTATAAAAAAACACTACCGATTTTACTGGAATTCTAAAGAGTATACAACGTGACTTTTTTGAAACAAAAAGCCAAAATTATTTTAGGTTAAAGACCATAAATCACATCTATTTAAGTGACACTTTACATTTTATTATTAAACTAATTGTGAGCAGCCACGCTTTGTCATCCATTTCCGTCTAACAATATTTTCCCCTGCTAATTGGCTCGGAATAATTGAAACAGGCAAATAAATGTATTCATTTAGCACGTTAAACGCTAAGTATTAGCGAGAAAATCAATTGGGAAAAACATTTCAACTCAGGGCTAACCATATTGAACACGATTTGCCAGTAGAGATAAGCGCCGAGTTAGCCGGAGCTACTGAATAGTAATCCGGAGACAGAAGATAACGCCGCACGATCAGACTTTGGCCAAACATCGTTAGAAATGTTGAACGAACCAAAATTAAGGCCACCAGAGCACGTTGTATAGGCAGTTACATTGGCTTATCACTGGCAAAATATTTATATAGACGTTCATTTAGATAAAACCTCAAAATGTGAGCAAGAGACTGACTAATAGTTGCTCCACTCGGCCACTCGGGGACTGTTGTCAAGCTCTCTATACAGAATTCCGATCTGATATTCAAGCACGTGTAGCTGACGCCATAGACCTCGTGAAAAACTGGAGTTGGACACTCGACATAAGCGCTTTACGATTTACATCTGGGCAACTACAAAATAAATGAATATATTTCGGAGAGCCTCGTGCATATTTGGGAGGCATTGCAACTGGTTTTTGTTTCAGTATTGCTGCCTGCCCTAGAACCGAACAACTTTTTTGTTAGTCAAAAAAAAAAAAAAAATGAAAACGGCTCCAAGGTCTCTTCTGATTACAAATTATAGACAAAATCTTGTTTCATGTAAAAACTTTTCAAGGCTGTCGGATTACGAAATATTGTACAGTCAACGCAGAATCAGTTGCGGCCACTTTCAGAACTCGATTAATAATTACTAAATTTTATTTACCTCTTAGAGCTTTGTACGGAAAACCCTTGGATGTTTTTCGAAAAAGTGAAATCGCTGGCCACTAAAATTTGTTTACGAAAACGCAGAACAAAGCAGATCAGGCCAAGCGGTAGTATATTTTTAAAAGAAAATTCTTGCAGCGTAGAAACAAGTGTTTATCTGCGACGCACAGCAAACAAATTTCCCGACAACAATTAGTATACGGATATATGCATAATATTGTTTATGTATTTTTCAAATAAATTCTGAGTTTTTCAAAGTTCATTGGCTTTGTCACAGCACGCACACGCCACGGCCAATAAAATAAAATAAAAATCTTCGATTTAGACACTGATTTAGACGTTAAATGTTTGTTTGGCAAACTGTCTGCTGGAGTAATCACAAACACAAACACGCAGGCTGGGCTCGATTTAAATTACTTTTTTCAACGGGTTGTAGTTTTTGGGGTTTTTTGTAGGAAAAATTGTTGTTTTTGCTTTCAATTTGGCGGAACCGCGTTGGCCCGGTGGGACGAGCTGGCCACAAAAGCACAGACTGGCGATGGCTAGCGATGTGTATCCGCTGAATACTCCTCACAGACTGAGCTACCAAACGCCGACGATTGTTTATTAAAAACGCCAAACAGCTGTTCGCGTCGCCGAGCGCCAAAAAGGCAGCGACGTCGACGCCAAATCGAATTCAACAGGCGTAGTACGACAGTGGGGGGCGGGCTGGGGCGAATGCGGCCAGAAACGGGTCATAATTAAATTCAAAATCTGTGAAAAACAAACAAATCATCAGGCCAGGCCAAGCTCGAGATTTGCGATTTTCGGGCTTTTACGAGCCACCACACGGCGTATACTTGATTGAATTCGATACGATTTCATTTGATTTACATCCCCATACTCTACCCTTGTGATCACAGTCGAATCGATGGCAATCGGATGAGGCGCATGCTAAGGAAATTGCCCTGCTAATTTTTTAGCCAAACTCCCCTTCTGACGCTGTTATCAACTTGCCCTATAAATAAATGTAGTCTAGTTCATATTTTTCGCAAAACTCCCCTTGATTTGGCAATCCAAGAGCTATATTTTATACATGTTTTTAATAATTCAAGGGAGTTCTGGTCTGACTCACTGATGTTGTGATTATTATGCTAATTTTTTGTCATAATTATAATTTCTTCGATTTTGTAACTTGTATTAAAAATATCCGCTTTTGGGGTCACTTTCTTTTTATTTTGTTTGCCATTTTATTGCTAATTTTGGGACTTCAGTGTGATATGACAATTTGACATAATCCCAAAGCTACTGCTGCTGTGTTTTTAATTGCATTATAAAGGTTTAGGATAATAATAAAGATACTATCCTAAAGACTCTTCAAATAACTGTCTATTTTTGCCAACAAAACATGATAACATGATTAAATTAATAAATACTTCCTTAATGAAAAGTTTATTACATACTTAAAACTGGGGTAGCAGCAAGCCATAAATAAATATCAATTTGTTGGCAACACGAATCTGAAATCAAAGCTCACGGCTAATACCCAATGCAATTAAAACCCAATCAAGAACAAGGCGTACTAACAACTGGCGATTAGATAATGCCTGGCTGCAGACGATGAGCTACAGACTCGAGTAGTCGGCTTCCATGTGCTAACGAGTAAGTGGCCATAAAGTTCGGGGTGCGTACCAAATATATTTTCAATGCCGTAACGCAAACTTTGAGTTCGATCTTATCGCACTTTCCCTATCCGAAAACGGAAAAAAACACGTGCCGGGCCGTCCCATATTTTTAGCCAACTGTACCCGGACAGTTGAGATGGATGATCTTTCGCAAGAAAGAATACTATACAGCCTCAATTTTTGCATTTTCATTGGGCTTTTCTTTGTTTGCCGGAAATCAACAAAGAACAAAGAAAGTGCAGGGCCTAGCCCTTTCCAAACATCAGAGTTCTTGAATCCACAATTCATAGAGAAAGAAGCGCTCGAATAACGCGCATTACTCATCCGCCCTGTTATCCGACGTTCGTGGGGGAATTTTCACTGGATTTAAATGACTAATCCGATTTTATTTCTTGTCTTGCAGATCCTCTGTCACTCTCCGGCTAATATTGGCACCTACTTGAAAACCAAATAACAAAAAGTCGCAAAAAACGAATCTCAAATCAAAGGCGTTAACCAATCCGAGGCGAGAATTATCATTTTTGGAGCTGTATTAATTCGTTTGGCCAATATTAGCAGCACCTAGATTATGCTTATGCAAAGGTGTTAGGCTAAAAGGAATTTATCTATAGAGGTGTATTTGCGTTAAAAGGTTTATCTTTTTTTGGGTGGTTTCTTGGTAAAACAATCAAAGGAAGATATCTTGAATATCAGTGTTATTCTGTAGTTGAATTTTCATCATTTCTTTTAAAATAAATCACCTTCGAATATAGTTTGCACTTTAATACACTTTTTAATTTGTTTATTTATAACTTCCTCTGGTTTTTAGGTCCTTGAACTAGTCAAAATTTGTGGTTTTTTTAGCAGAGCCGCATGAAAATGTGCTCGCATCATAAACTGTTATTGCGTCTATTATTTTCACACACGCTTGTGAAATATTTCGAAATGGCTTTTTTGTTGTAATAATACGGCCAGTACGGACGGAACTTACTAATTAAATAATTTGTTTTGAATAATACGCTTTGCGTTGAAATTGGCGGCTCGGAGCTGCTTCAGGGGAAAGTTACGACAAATGGCTGGCTGTTTATTCTCGATCATCTCTCCATCTTTTTTGCCGATCGTCCTCCCACTTGCACTCTCCTGCCGATCAGCTGTTGCTTTCTCCGCGGCGGCCTCTTTATTTACGTTCCGTCTGCTACACGCGTGGCAATTGGATTCGTTTTGACTTGAAGTTCAACGTATGTGGTGGCTTATAAATACTTTTGTGTGGCGGCAAAGTTGAGATGCAAGCTGCAGCTGTAATTCTTGGCTCGCTCTCTTCTTTCTCTCTTATTGGATATAAGGAACATTTAATGCTTTTCATATGTATTACCAATTTTATACAGTGAGAAAAATGTACATTGCATGGCTGTTAATATCATAAAGATACAAAATTTCACATTACATTTTTTCCCAAGTGCTCAAACATCCACCATTGCGCCTTGGACAATTTCTGTTTATTTACCCAACAATTGATCCGAATGTTTGCCTTTGTTTGTCGCTGATTAACCCTTAATGACACCATTTCTTTTTGGTTTGGGGCGCACTCACAATTATTACGAATAAACCCATAAATAGATCCATATAAAAAGCTGTTGGCACCAATTAAAACGTTTGGGGAAAATAAAGTGGTTTTTGATTAGAAAAAGACTGTCATATGGGATTTCCTAGAATGCGCCTTATAGTCAACAGAGAAAAATGAATATTCTTTATTTGGATGAGATATCTTTGCGCGGGAATTACGCCGCAGAATCGGATTAAAGTTGTAAAGCACACGACTGTGAATAATGCTAACATCGGGGTACTTCGGTCTTCGGGGTCTCTATCAAAAGCTGACTTTGTTGAAGGCTAGATTAGAATAATCAGAACTTTTTTTTAAAAAACAACAAACCGGAACACTCTGAAAGAGTTACCACTAAAAGGGGAAAGAGAAAAAAAGGCATAGATCCGAGTGATAAGGAAAGCCACGATCAAGAGCATTCAGCGACATTGATAAGCCCCAAGTTTCTCTCTCTCTCGCCACGTTTGGTTCTTTCTCTCTTAGAGTTGGCCATCCGAACCGGACTGGATTGGGTCAGTTGTAACCAATTATGAGTGCTGATTCAGTTCAGCTTGAGCACTTTTTATTCGCATTCTCGCCCAAGGGGCGTCAAAAGTTTTATGTCGGCTGTGTCGGTTCTACCAAAAGTTGGAAGAAAAAAGCCTATTAATTCGGTGTTTATTGCCTCATTGCCCCTCTTATAAGCCACTCAAAATTGTTGTTAAAATTAATCATTATATTCTAGGTTATATTGCCAAGGACAGTCCCAGCTCCTAGGCAACAAGTAGTGTACTTTAGTAAAAAAAACAATCTTTAAAAAATCCGATCATTTCAAGCCTAAAAAGTTGCATGACCCATCCCAGCATCCCCTTTATATGGATGGGAATACAAAAAAACTACAATGAAAAGAAAGCGGTTCAATTGGGCGGCCAAACATAAGCACAACAATCAATTATTGCATAAACAAATCGATGAACGAAAGTGTCGACTCACCGAGAAATGCTGGCAATTGGATACCAGTCGACCGGGATGTGTTCTATGCAAATGATGTCATGGCACCCAACCCCTTTTTATCTTCCGAATTCAGTTGGGGAGATGTGCCGTACCAGCATAATGTTGGGAATATTCCATAGGGGACAGAAACAAAGCAGAATAAACAAATTGATCAGAGGGCCCCGAGATCCGAGTGCCATAGCTTTTCCGAACCGGTATGAATCGGTTTGCACGGTCGCCACGAAAGGCCGCACAAAGGTTTACCTTTGGCAGTTTGCGACAATCGCTGACACAGCTGATATATAGCTCTTTACAGATCTAGCTGGCTGTATCTGGCTCTATAGTCCCTCTATCAACGCCCAGACCCAGACCCAGTCCCGGCTCCAATCCCAGACACGCATTAACATTTTATGGCTGAGCAGAAAACAGACTTTCGATCGGTCGACTTGTTGGGCAACTCTATCTACCCGCCAGACATGAACAAAAAATAGTGCAAAACGTGAACACCCAGAGAGATTTCAAACGCTGACCCTCAATCGAAAACAACTTGGCTAACGCAAAAAAAAAGTCAAACAAACATAAGCAAATAGCCGAACGAGCTTGGCAACGACGTCTCTGGCATAAAAAGTTTATATTTAATTTTATATAATATACATTTATGGTTTGCTTATAACGATCAGACAGCAGATAGAAATGAGTCAAAAACGTGACTAAACTTTTGCTTTAATTTTTTTGTTTGTTCTTTAATTTATGCCGCACATATGTACCTAAAAGCTATGCGCATAATTAATAATTAATTGAATGGATATGTATCAGACAAACTGGTTAGCTTCAAGCTAAAATATCAATCATACTGCCAAACTATTAGATTAAGCTCACAGATAGGGATCGGCACAAGATAATTTTTAAGCTCGGTATCGGTCAAATGTCATTCGTGTAGGTCTCTCCGAATAACCAGTTACAAAAGGCGAAAACAAAACTCGTTATGAGATCCGTTGCACTATGCGATTGCTTCCACGAAAGCAATCAAGATTATTGTGCGAATATATATTCCGATACCAGATTCAACTGGTTGCCAGAGATAATAGTTCT